CTGCTTCTAACACTTGAGGGACGTAGTGGTCTATTGGTAGAGAGCTGGACTGCTAACCCGTAAGTCTCGAGTTCGAATCCGTGTTCAAGTCATTAGAGTCCACCCAACTCTGATGGGTACCTAACTCACGTTAGGGAGAGTAAACGCGGCTGGGCATAGTGCTGACCACACTATCTCTTCATATGCCGAGGTCACAGAAACAAGTGAACTCTACTTCACTTGCCCCATAGACCGTCAGGTTTGAAAGGGAAAAGTTTTACTTTTTCCTGTATAGAACTGAACGTAATACTTGTAAAGAACACGTATTCGCTAAATAATGCTATCGATTTATATATGTATGGAATTAGCTACTTTAATATAATTCACTAGATCTACAATTTTTTAATTTTTTAATTTTTAAAAAATATCATTATAAAAATAAAGTTGAGTTTTTCGATTTAATCTATCACTGCACACAGTCCTTATAAAAAATAAATAAAAAAAGTAGCTTAAATCTACATAACACTTAAAACACACGTACTTGTTAATGAAAAGTCTAGTATATTTCCTAAATGAAAGAGAGAGCAGGGGCAACATATGGAAAATGATCAAACAAATGTCTAACGAGATACATCGGTTACATGCCAACCCCCTCACAACGTTGGTAGGTTTTTATCAGACATTTGCTAAAATAAACGACTAAACATGTATTGGTAATTTAAATTGCTTTGTCTTGGTTGTGTGGGTAATAAGAAAAGGCAGTTGCACACATCATTTTTTTTCTGTTGAAAAGAATGTCACCTACTTAATCTTTTTTTTCCTCAATGTGTTATTCAATAGTTGTTACACCATTTAGTTTTAGATATACAAAAGTGTGGTTTGAATTGTTTTGTTCTCTCATTTTCTTTTAGTTATATACTTCTAGCACTATAATGTAATACTTACATACATAATGTATGGTGTGTCAATGCTTAGTTTTTTTTATTAAAGTTTAATTCATTAATTTAAAGACAGCACACTCCTACCATATGTGTCACACCAAAACAATGATTTTATCATCTCTACTATGGCAACAACCTTTGACCTTTGTCTTACTCTACCTAGTTCTACACTTGTAGCCTTCTAAATCAAAGAAAATAGAAAAAAAAAACATAATAAAATAGACTAACCTCCGTCTGGACCTAGCAAGTAATGATTTTATCCCCATTTATCCTAACAAAAATGTACATGAACACAGCAGAGGCGTAGCGACCCTTCCCGGCGCCCGGGGAAAAAACTTCGATTTGCACCCCCTCGAACTTTTGATTTGCAACCCCCCCTCCCCCCGTTCAAACTTTCGATTTGCACCCCCCCCCCCCTCAAACTTTCAATTTGTTTTTCCAACCCATTGTCGCCCGCCACCTAAGGTCGGCGCCCGGGGACGTATGTCCCCCCGCACCCCCACCCCCCCCCCCCCCCCCGTTCGCTACGCCTCTGGAACACAGCAAATGTTAATTGGTACCATTTCAGATGTTTTAGCAAAAAGAAAACAAATATATCTTTATGTGTTATTTTATAAGAGGCTTAAATTTTAACATATATATATATATATATATATATATATATATATATATATATATATATATATATATATATATATATATATATATATATATATATATATATATATATATATATATATATATATATATATATATATACTGTCTAAGTAGATATGATACTACCTTTTAGTTCGTACAATAAAATTGAATGACATACAACCTAGAACTTCACTGGTTTAATTTTACATAAAAAATATAACCCAGTTTAGTTCGTAAAATAAAACTGACGTGTATACATGAATGGTTTAGCTTAAACAAGGTTTAGATTATACTTTGAATGCGTATTAAACACGTGTTTTAGTTGTAAAATAACTAGTTATAATATTAAAATGTTTTGCAAACATGTACATGAACCCCCTCCCTCCTCCCCTAAAATTGATACTGACAGCTAAGTTGCCCCACATATAACATATAATAAGAATTAATTGAATCAATCTCTGGAAGGTATTGTGACCGACTTGATGGTGTCAATGTATCAGGGCTGGTAGGATAGTAGACTGAGTATTCGCCCACAATATTCATAGGCTCATACCACCCTTTAGCGAAATTCAAAGAATAAACATTATATTGAATTTAAATTATTGTATCCATGGTTGTGTAGTTGATAAAAACTATGAAGGGATAAATAAAATACAGCTTCAACAGGACCGTCGTTAGCATTATGGCGAACTAGGCCCTTGACTAAGGCGATGTTTATAGGGGGCGCAAAAGTGTGTAATCGACATTATTATAAAAGAAGAACTAACAAATAATTCAAACGTTGATTGAATTATTGAAAAAAAAGTTAGCGAGATATGATAACTATTTGATTGTAACTTTAACACACTGGACTCAACTACCAGCAAGGCATAGGCTGTGTTTTCCTTTCCTTGCAGTTTTATATTTAGCTCTTTTAGTTTCTTTGTAATATCCACCATGAAGTTGAATGTTTCTATTCGGGTTGACAATTCAATAGAAAGTACATGGAGATAGGGAGTAAATAAATATTCTAATAGAATAGCGAGTGATTATTGTTTATATTTATTATTATATCATTCATCAACGATTGTTGCACAACTATATTTTTAAGTTTCGAAAAAAAAAAAATTATTAATATGTGTGCATGGAGCTGAAGAGCCGCATCTTGAAATCAAAAGAGACGCATGCGGCTTGCGAGCCGCGGGTTGCTGACCCGTGGTCTAGCCAATACGGCTTTTTATAAATATAATAATATACCATTAACTGATACTGTAAATATGTGTAGTGTGATGAATAACTATATATTTGACAACTACAACTTTGGATCATACCAATGTTCTGTTTAAGTTGTCTCTCAATTTTGTTCTTTAATAATGTTTCCCATTTTAAGCAGGGAAACAAGTTGCTGCTTATCCTGAGCCAATTTTCTACTCAATTGACTTAAGACAAATTCCTTATTTCCCCGAATGCCTTTTGCCTGAAGGCAGTTTTTCCATTTGACCGACAAACTCCCGCTTAAACGTTGGGTGTTTCTAATTAACTGAACTAAAAAAATAAATAAATTAAGCAATTTTAAAGTTATAAATATCATTTACAGTTTTACCATAACATTAAATGTTTCATACTCAATTGGTTAGAGTTTTAAATCAGTAAATATACTATCTGCAAAATAGGTAGTTATAAACATTTAAAATACGTATTTGCCAATACATTTTGCCATATCTTATTTAAAAAACAAAATAAAGGGAGACAACGCAAATAAAATTATAGAGCAATCAGTTTTCATACATTTAAAAACAGATACTTTTTTGAGAAAAATGTCTTGGTAGAATTTAAAAATAAATTTACATAATAATTTTAGGAAGAAAAAAAGTATTAGTTACGCTATTATTTATTAAAATTATCTCTCGTTATAAAATTAGAAAACAGTGACATGAATGCATACATTTTTCTAAGACAAGCAATTAAATCAGATTTTTTACGTTACCTTCTTTGTACCATAACGTTATTGTGTTTTCTACATAAAAAAGTATTACAGCAAACATGATAAATAAACTAGTTCTACAAAAAAAAAATAAAAAAATGCATAAGTGTAAGCATATATTTACAATGTATTTTTTTCTAAATTTCAACATGGCACGCAAGACAAAATAACCAGCTGCAGCACCTAAGGTAAGGAAGTTAAAAAAGAGGAGAATAGACTGCATCACCTCCCAAAGTTGATGCGTGAGTAGTCAAAGCTAAAGAAAAAGTGCTTAAAGCAAAGAAGACAGTTGTTCGCGGTAAACATGACAAAAGAAACCACAAAATAAGGACATTTGTACATTTCCGTCGTCCAGAAACCCTTAAGCTGCCCAGGGCTCCCAAATATCCACGCAAGAGTGTGAACAAGAGTAATAAACTTGATCAGAATGTATTGATTAAGTACCCTCTGACCACTGAGTGTGAACAAGAGTAATAAACTTGATCAGAATGTATTGATTAAGTACCCTCTGACCACTGAGTGTGAACAAAAGTAATAAACATGATCAGAATGTATTAAGTACCCTCTGACCACTGAGTGTGAACAAGATTAATAAATTTAATCAGAATGTATTGATTAAGTACCCTCTGACCACTGAGTCTGCCATGAAAAAAATTGAAGTCAACAATACCCTTGTATTGCTTGACGCCACGCGTGCTAACATGCCCATGATTAAGATGGCTTTCAAGAAACTGTACGATATTGAACTATCAAAGGTTAATACATTAATTAGGTCTGATTGTGAAAAGAAAGAATTCGACTCCAGATTATGATGATGCCAATAACTTCATAAGAAAATAAGTATCAATGATAAAATTCCCGTAGCATAGACACACTGACAAACTATAACAGTGAGTATTTTTACTGCCCGCGCATGCGCGCAGCCGCCCTAATGGAAACAAAAAATCAAGACGAACTTTCAGTCGCGGTCATGTACAAACTTAGTTGAAGGCGGGGTTTTCTGAATGTCTGGCGGGCGGCGGGCCACAAAAATCTATGTGGCGGGCCGCATGTGGCCCACTGGATACTTTGCCCACCCCTGTTCTAAGCTATAGATATATTTCTCAGCCAATAAACCCTAATGGACAAGCAGATACAGTATTATAGTATGGGGACTAACAGACTCGTCACGTGTGACGGTCAGCTGACCATTGGTCAAGGTTAGCCTGACCATTGGTCAAGGTTAGCGCATCTGTGAAAACGAAAACGGTGTTAGGCAGTCTGATTCAGACTACACCCGCGGGCCGGATTGCGAGGCCCTCTCATCTGGGCCGTGGGGACCGCTTTTCTTACGAATGAAATGTTTGTTGGAGGTGACTACATTTTACAAACAAATTGAACATGTAGCTTTGAGTGCAAAGACGTGTTGCAGACATGGGTACAACCATTGTGATTCAAATTAGCCAAAAAAATGCAAGTTTCGCCATTTTTCAATTGCAATGGATGAATCTCGGAACAGCTGTTCCACCTTTCAACTTCTTAGTTCATTAGAGGTGAGCGTAACACAAGAGCTGGCTTCCCTACATAGTATGTATGACGCAGTTATCGGAGATTGTATATTCAATGGGTTAAAAAAAAACATTTGCTGATTATAACTTGGACTGGACTAACTTTAGTAGCCTGACTGTTGATGGAGGAAAGTAAATGAGTGGCATAAAGAAAGACTTGGTTGGACAAGCGAAGCCGATGTCTGTCATAGCGTAGACTAGTAGAGGTTACTAAGGACGGTGCGAACTTGACGGTAGACGATTTGGTGCGAGAGTATTGTGCGCGTGTTCAATAAAAAAATAGTGGCGTGAGTCTGACGTGAGCATGACGCGACAATGTACCGATAACGTAAGACGCAGCAGTGAAGTTAGTTAGCGGTTAGCGATTGTAGAGGACGGATGTGTTTTGATATTGTGTAACAGATCTACACCTGTGTTATAATAAAGTTAATGTTATATCATAAACGAAGTTGTTGATATAATTAATTAGTGTCTCCGGAAAATAAGAGGATTCCCGTCCTCCTTCACAAGTATAATAGTTGCAGTTTTAATAGCAGTATTCAGAATATAGATACATAGACCATAACGTATAAAGATTATATATATATATATATATATATATATATATATATATATATATATATATATATATATATATATATATATATATATATATATATATACACCCCCATCACAATGTCCATGCCCTGTGTTATTCATCTGCAAGCCTTGTGTGCTTAAGGGAGATTTTTCAGCCTGTACAGAATTGTGTGGATTTGGCGGATTAGCACAAAGATGAAGAAAAAGGGGCGCTGTCGACTCAAGTGAAACATACAGGGAGTACTGTCAAAACGACCGCTGACAAAACAACTCAGTCAAAAAAGCGCCAACAAAATAACTTTATGACGACGTTTGAGTTGCACGATGTGACCAAGACTTTTAAGGGGAGACAATCAATAAAAAACACAACACAACAGTACATTTAGGTAACTCCCCTTGGTTTCTATGCAACCTCACTACATTAGACACGCACCACACGAAAAAACTACCATAGAAAACATGTCAGATATGTGCTTATGAATACGCTTTTATTGTATTTGGAAATCACACAGACAATCACAGATGACAAAAATGTTGCACTAAAAAGTACAGACTAAATAGAGTTTGGTGTAACCTTACCAAGGTTATATCCTGGTATGTGTAAAAATCATACTTTCTACAACTCGTCAACATTTTGCTTTTCTAACATTAATTATATCTTCTACCACATTTGACATTCAAACCTATGTAGTATTGTGCTAATGGATGATGAAGTGGTTCTATCCTTATTCTATCCTGTTGTTTTGATCGGGAGGTGTTTATTTTTGTATGATTGTCATGTATCCCTATATATCCATTGCATGTGTTTTTATTAAGGTTTGTAGCTAATGTTTCTAAGCATGTGTTTTTGAACATGAATTCTCTAATGTGCTTGTTTGTTAGTTTAATAAACGAGTTAGGTATTGTAGATGTAGGTGGTACTCCTTTATTGAAGTGCATTATTTGAGGTATGAAAGGTTCGAGTTTCTTAACTAAAGTTTTTGTCAGTATTTTATAATCACTCTTTAGTTAATAAATAGGTATGTAATTCATTTTTTTGTCGTGTCCGTATCATGTTTAGGAATAAGTGTTATATATGCCCTGTTAAAATATGTAGCACAATCCTCTCTTTCACGTATGTCTTGAAATGTAGTGTGTAAAAGGCGTATTAAGTTATTTTTGAAAGTTGTACAACATTCACTGGTTAGTCCGTCTGGTCCTGGAGCTTTATTTAGTTTTAGTCCGTCTATCGTCTTGGATATTTCTTCTTTAGTAATTGGCGCGTTGATTTTGATACAGTCATCGTTGTCTAGCCTAGTTATGTAATTAAGATAATGTTCTTGTATTTCAACGTCTGTATCTTCCGTGTTAAAGGGGTTTTGATAGTATACAAAAAACTGTTTTATACTTTCCAGTCTTATGTTATAGTCCCGCTGTCATCTGTTATGCTACATATCTGTTTACTGTTGCATTGTATTTTTTTCCTAATGTTGTTATAATTGGATGGCTCTTCGTTACCTATCATATTTATATTACTACTACATATTAGCGCTCCTGTGTGTCTATGTGTTTGTATTTCGTTTACTTATGATTCCACTTATTTAATGTTGTCCTGATATGATTTATGTCTGATTAATGTTGGCCTATATAGGTGTCTGTCCAGTAGTTCTTCTATAATTGTCATATCAATGTTTATTTGCCTGGCTATGTTGATATAATATTCCCGTATCATTTATTTAAAATCTTCCCAGTGCTCTAGTGCATGTTTGTTTAATGATTTGTGTGAGCATTCTGAGGCAAGATTTCTAATTTATGCAATGTATTCGCTATTTTCTGGAAGTGTGTTGTTACATTTCCAATATGTATTCTTTGTTCTGTAAGTGGGGTTGATTATTATGTAATCAATAAATATTTTGTGGTCTGTAAATGTGTCTCATCAAGATGTTTAATTTTGTTTACCGTTATGCTTTCATGAGTTAATATTCTGGCTAGCCTAGCTGCGCAATTGTATGTTCTGTTGTAGTTTGTAATTTCAGTGAAACTTAGATGATAAACAGCAAACAATATTTCATTAATAAAATATCACTTTCACCACCAACAGAAATGCTAGATCTAACATTTGTTATCCCGAAAATGTTAATACTGTTATACATTTTATAACACGGTACAACATTATATTTATTTGAATGTCCTGTAACATATTCATGATTTGATTTTCTAAAACCTTGTTGTTGCAATGACAGCCTATGTAGAAGCAGTTGATATTTTAGTAATTTTTGCCTATCATTGTTGTCTTCTATTTTGTTTTGACTAAGGGAATACCATTTAAGCTACTTCCCATAGCCTTGTAAATATGACATAATGGAAGTGATAAAACCACTTTTTTAAATACATATAAATTTTACTTTATTAACAACTAAATGATTTAACAATGTTTACATCGTAGCTGTGTTTTAGGTGATTTTGTGGCTGTAAAAGATTTTTTTTTTTTAAATTCATAATAAAAACGTTTTAATAACAAGCTTTTAAGTAATAATGCACTAAAAAGTAAAAAAAAATAAATTATACACAGCTAGTTAAATAACTATAAAGAAAAGCGTGGGTCTCTTCCTAAATATTAGACACAACGATTTAAATGACTATAAAGAAAAGCGTGGGTCACTTTAGTATCTATTGGATACCTTTACACTAAACTTACTTTTATTTTTCTTAATCATATAAACTATTAGTTGTGTAATAGTGTAACGTTTACTTGTATTAAAGTAGATGATTTTCTGTTTACTTAGTTTTGTCTCCCTTACATTCTCTCTAAACAAGAAATGGTAAAAATATTTAGAGTATGTCCGTTGTGTATCTGTTGCTGGCCTATATCAAACATAACAGATTGATCTAGTTTCCTAGTTACAAGTTCATTGACTTTCAGATCCGGCTGAGTAGACCATTTATCCTTCAGCCCTATGAATTTGTCAATATCTCCGCTGTTAAAGGCATACAGAAGATCAACCAGCCATTCTTTATATGTGCCTTCAAGGATGCCAAGATATCATGGGCAAGGAACTCACCAAAATTGTATACAACCTCGTCTATTATAAGCTCTCTCTGCCTGCTCGGCTTTTGGCATGTCTATAAGATCTGTGCAGCCTGAGAACATAAGGGCATCTTGATAGTACTGAGCTAGGTCGATCATATAGTGTATTGGAAACATTCATTTGTATTGCAATATTATAATTACAAAACTCTAGAATAATATGGTACAACCAAATACAACCTGACAAATGCCAGATTAAGATTGCATCATGCCATCCTTAAACAAAAACAAGTCATATAAAACGTTAAATTGAATAATATATGTAAACCATTTGTTGTATTTATAATTACAAAGCTCGATGTTAATAGACCAATCAGTAATACGCATGGCCTTTAATTAGACCAATCAGTAAAACAGAAACATTGTCTCTAAATAAAATCACTGTTTCTGGCAATAATATAAAGCTTATATTTATAACACGAAAAAATATGATTGTATAGACAGTGGGAGCATACTCCCACTGACATCCCTGTCTATACCGACATATTTACAAAATCAATAACATTCTTGAAGTCTTTGTTGTATAATGTATTTAATTAAAGGACATACACGTGTTTACAGTCACGCATTGTATTTCTATGCCGACCCACATAATGTGTTACGAAAATGTATGTAGTAGTGTCCCAATGTTATATTTGATACTGATTTTCATTTTAATTTTGAATATGTTCATTAAAAAAAAATAATAAGATTGCATTTTTAATTGTGCATAGAATGTTGTAGCATTTGAATAAAAAATTTGATTATATTGTTTGGTTTGTTTCTATGTAATGCGTTTTATTCTTGTTAGGAAGACAATGAGAGATATTATAGCATGCACACTTTATAATTTTTTTAATACAACAGTTTTAGATTTTAAATTTCTCTTTTTACACATAAATATATGATAGAGTTAGCAAAACGATTATGTTATGGTTACTTATAGTTTGTACGATGCCTAGACATTACGAGTATACATAAATATATCTTTGGCGTATTTACGTTTCAGTTATACTGTAAATTTCTAACGTTTGAGGAATAACTATATATTTTACCACTAAATATTTTAATCATATCATTGTTCATATCATTGTTCAGTCTACATTTTCTCTCAATCACATGTGTAATGATTAATTTTTCCATCTTAAGCAAGGCAACAAAAAAAAATGGATTCTTTAGGGGGTCATCCATAGATGACCTAAAACTTTTTTTTACAATTAACTCCTTCCTGCCCCCCCCCTCCCCCGCCAATCCCTTTTGTCACACATAGTCACAAAAAGCTCATAAAATGACGTCACACCTCAGCCTACAACCCCCCCCCCCCCCCTCTCAAAATTGCCGTTGAATGTTTCTTAAAACAGTGATAATTTCCCATTTCTTTTCTGAACTATGTCAACAAAGCGTGTTTTAATTATTTTTATTACACTTTATTTAAAACAGATTTTTAAACGCGAAATAATAGCTACAATTCGTTTTCTAGCATTGCTTTTTGTAATGCAAAACAACCCCTCCCCCTCATAACACCGTCACAAAATTACAGACCCCCACCCATTTCCTCCAGAGATTGTGACGTCATTTATGGACACCCCTAACCTGAGATAAATTTCTTCTCAATCGGCTTACGGCAAATTCCCAAAACAACATTGAAGAATCTTTATTGTCCGAACCCCGTTTGTCTGAAGACCGTTTTACCCAAACGTCTTTGCGACAAACGTTGCGGTGTTTCACATTAAAAAAAAAAATAATAACGCAATTTTAACTGTATACACATATTTTACAGTTATACCATTACAATTAATATTTCATACTGTATTGGTTAGAGTTCTAAATCAGTAAAGGTACTGTCTGGAACACAATGTGAGTTTTTTGTAGTTTTTTTTTTTTTTAATTTAAATACATATGTGCCAGAGATCTTTGGCATTTTGTATATGGGAAAAATCATAAAAGATTAGTAGTAACTCTAATATGTATTAAAAAAGTCGCAGGTTATAAATTTTAAAAACAGTGACTTTAATGTATACATTTTTCTAAGACAAGCAATTTATTCGGCTTAAGCAAAGTTGGTGTGACTCTGTTATTCCGAAAAAAAAAAGTTTTAACAATAATACATTCATATAAGCTATAATTCAAATGCTCAGCCAATAACCCCCCTAGGGCAGGGTCGCCAACCTAATATACATAAATAACGTCATGGGGGGGGGAGGGGGAGGGGGGTTAGGGTCTGGCTGTTTGCAAGTCGGTACAAATTGTGACGTCATTTGTGGTACCCCCCCCCCCCCCCACCCCAAATCAGAAGGTTTTCCGACGTGGAGGTTGTCATATACAGTAGTTCTTGTAAAAAACATATCTTTTACATTGAACTTAAATATTCCGCTCCCATTTTGGAGAATTTAACCCTTATGTAAACATTTTTTTAATCATGTTCAAGTTCAGTCAATAATACTGAAGTATATGCGTATTTATTTTTATTAAAACAAATATTCAATCAAGATAAATACGCAGTCGATTCTGAATTATTTTAATTTTTAACGAACATTTATATTTACCATTACTTATAAAAAAATATGCAGGGAGATAACTAACAGATTTGTATAACCAGCTGTATCAATACATATTTTTAATAATATTAATAAGTAAACAACGATTTACAATTGTGATAAAATAGGAATTGCAATTTCAACATGTTTTCTAAAATGTTTATTTACAATTTTTTTTTTGTATTTGATAGAATGGCATTATTTAAAACGCTTATTTAAACATTTCGATTATTTTACAACTTTTTTTTTTTAAATTAGAAAAATTCAACAAAAGCGACAATCCGACCCGACCCATTCATATCGTTGGGAGTAATTTTGTTTCATGTACTGACAGAGACACTTGATGAAGAAGCTTCGTGTTATCCCAGCGTTATATCCTTATTTGATATTTTTCATTTACAGGATCCTCGGAATGCTTATCAATCTGATAAACATGCACGGACTAGAAGTCAAGGCGTTTTACATGTGCTGCCTAATAAACAGATGGAACAGCCGACCCGAGGTTTACTAGCCAGTCAGTTACAGTGTTTGTCCTGTGGAGGCAGGTCTCCTGTCAAATATGATGTCTTTGACAGCTTGACTCTGTCTTTTCCAAGAAATTACTGGGGACCTTTGAGTCTGGACAGTTTACTGCACCAGTTTGTCAATATTGAGAAGAGAATATCAATATTGAAAGTAAGTCCTTATTTTGGAATGTTGCTCAGTTTAAAGGGAGGTAACACTGTATTAGATTGTTCTGTTAAAGGAGGCAATAGGAAATGACTATTGTAAAAAAATAAAAATAATGTTTCAAGTATTGAAATCATTGATAGTATTACTGTTCCATAACAGTTATTTTTCTTTTCTAATTTTATTTAGTTGAAGGCTAATATTACTTAAAGCTCTTATTTGAGTAATGGCATCAAAACTTAATTATTAAAGTGTAATACATATGTAGGCTTCCTAGAAAAAAATAGCCTTCAAGTTGATGTAATGAACATGTGTTATCACTTTTAATGTACAGCTTCCCCAAGTTCTATGTGTACACCCGCCTCGCGCACAGTGGCTGTATACTGGGATTCCAGTGAAGAGATTCGACCATGTGAATTTCCCTGAAACACTTCACATGGATCCATATCTGTATTGTAACCAAGGTGACAGCGCTAGCCGTTTGCTTGGTGGTGTGGATATCACAATGCAAATGTTAAGCCAATCAGCCAAAGCGGCGACTACACCGACATCTGCACCGGTCAACCTTTTAAGAACGTTGAACTTGGACCAGTAGTTCACCAGGACAGGTTTATTCGTTGACCCCCAAACTTCCCCGGAGATCCCCAGTGAGTTCAGTGACCTCAACCACAACGCCCCCCCCCCCCCCCCGGAGCTGTACAAAGTCGGGAGCTCAGACTTCTCCTACAAGCTGACCGCTGTGGTCTGCCACATCGGGGACAGCCAGCTCGGACATTTTGTGGCTTACCGCCGCGGCATCCACAGTGGAGGTCAGTCTCTGAAAGGTGCGGGTGACCTAGGGTCCAAGTGGTGGTACACGTCAGACAGCACAGTGTCCAGTGGTGGTCAGTCTCTGAAAGGTGTGGGTGACCTAGGGTCCAAGTGGTGGTACACGTCAGACAGCACAGTGTCCAGTGGTGGTCAGTCTCTGAAAGGTGCGGGTGACCTAGGGTCCAAGTGGTGGTACACGTCAGACAGCACAGTGTCCAGTGGTGGTCAGTCTCTGAAAGGTGCGGGTGACCTAGGGTCCAAGTGGTGGTACACGTCAGACAGCACAGTGTCCAGTGGTGGTCAGTCTCTGAAAGGTGCGGGTGACCTAGGCTCCAAGTGGTGGTACACGTCAGACAGCACAGTGTCCAGTGGTGGTCAGTCTCTGAAAGGTGCGGGTGACCTGGGCTCCAAGTGGTGGTACACGTCAGACAGCACAGTGTCCAGTGGTGGTCAGTCTCTGAAAGGTGCGGGTGACCTAGGGTCCAAGTGGTGGTACACGTCAGACAGCAATTGTCCAGGGTGTCCCAGCAACAGGTTCTATCTTCTGAGGCTTACATGCTGTTTTACGCGCGCATTTGAATCTATGTCAATCCAGATATCTACTCTAAGTCATATGTTTATAGAGTATTATATCAACACTGGATGCCGCACATTGCTTGTTATAATATGTTCTTTTTTGTCTATATCGTCAACATGAATCCTACCCTGCATAAAATACTGATCTGTTTGAGTAGATATTATTTTTGTTTGCAATAAAAACTTGTGTCTATTTGTTGTGGTAATTATTGGATCACACATACCATAAATAGAGTCTTTGCTTTTTTTTTATTTATGCATTTCTTGTCATCTATGAAAATCCCAGTGTGCTGTCTGTTATCGAATCATTAATCCTTGATTATATGTTGTATAGTGTACATTATAAGTGCTTTAACATGTCGTACAGAGTGTACATTTGCTTTATAGTGCTGAACATAATGTAAACCAAATGCTTTATAATTGTGTACTAAATATAAACCATGAATGCTTAATTCTATGGTACTAAACATTACATATCAATTACTTTATTTCATTAAGTATTCACTTACATTTTAAACTTGACATGGAGTTTTAAGTAACATCACTATCCATGTAGCATCAAATCCACTTAAATAGTTTGTAATTTTGTTTTAGTTTAGTTTAATGATTACTTTGATTCGTTTAATACCTTATATATTACCTTTGAATTTAGTATTATATAATTTTTATTGAAATACATTTAGGAGAAAATAATCAAAAGACCTACACATAAATTAATAATAGTTTGTTTTGATAATTCTGTAAAAAAAACAATTAATTTCTTTTTACAGTATGTTTATTGAACTGGTATTATTTTGATATTGTTTATATTTCATTGATTGCTGATCTTGAAACCATTGCTGTGATTATGTTGTTAGACATATTTCAATTCTTTTAAGCAAATTGAATAATTACAATTTTCTTTTTGCATAACAATTTTTTATTCAGTTTTGAAAAAAAAAAAAAAAAAAAAAAAAAAAAAAAAAAGAAGCTCTTTGTGTAGACCTCAGAGTCCTTTCCCTTAGTTCTCAACCTACTGATTGCTGGTAGCGGAATATTTGTCCTTTCTTTTTAAGTTGATTGTAACATTAATACTTCAATTATATAATTTTATAGTCCTCGTAAGTTACAACATCATCCTCACCTCGAACCATTTCCGATAGCAAAATAACACAATAGGCAGCAAGTTACCTTTGTTATGTGAGCCATATAGATCTCACACCAACCAATTAAATCATGACCCGCTTAATATTAGATGTCCACAGCAGATATTCTAGCTCAGTGGTTCTTGAACTAGGGTCGATCGTACCCCATAGGTTTTGTGAGTCAGTCTAAAGGGTTCGGCGTAGGGCAAGACACACACCCCAGTGGCGTAGCTACCGTAAAGCTAGAGTAAGCAAGGCATAGGGGCCCAAGACACTCAGGGGCCATTTTTCTTCTTTAAAAAAAGTTAATACCTTTTAATATTTATTTTATATAACCCATTTCAAAAAGAAAATGGAATTCAAGTTGTTATGAAATATATACAATTTTATCGGTCAAACTAATACAATTTACTTAAAAACAACATAATGACCATTGAATTGCCAGATTTTTTAGCGGAATCATTTAAGTCACTTAATCAGTGTGTGCCTGTGTTATGTTAAATGTGTCGGACATTTAGCTAATTAGTTATTTCTTTGCTTTATCACTAATATTGTTCAGCGTGTAGTAACGCACATTGCGTTTTGACCAATAACTATTTCATAAATTATTTTCTCAAACACGTACAATTTAAAATTAAAATATATAGGTCTACAATTCACGTGAAATGGGTACCGATGGCTAGTTTGACATAAAGAAGATAATTCTTTAAGGCAATAAACATTTGAAAAGAACCATCAAGCGATTTTCAATCGACCTAATCGGTTGTCTTTGATAAATGTATAACGTATGGCCACTGTTTTGTAAATAATTTATTTACCTATTTTTAAGACACATAAAAGAACAATTTAAAAATCTGTTTATGTGTATCAATATGTTATTTAGTTAATTTAATTGTGGGCAACTATCAGCCCTTTTTTTATTTAAAAAGAAAACGTTATGATATAAATATTTGTTAATGTTGTTTTTTAAGTTATTGCCCTTTATATGTTTTTGGCATAAGACGGTAGTATTTTTGAAACATTCATTTTTATTGCCATTTTAAAATTACAAATCTCTAGTCTATTTGGGTATCTACTTAATATATATATATATATATATATATATATATATATATATATATATATATATATATATATATATATATATATATATATATATATACATATATATATATATATATATATATATACATATATATATATATATATATATATATATATATATATATATATATATATATATATATATATATATTCACTGAATACAACACTCTATCAGATTTATCATGTTAGTAATCCACGTCATTTCTACTGTTATTTCATAATTGAATTAAAATCCTACAAGTACCAGGCCACAGCCGTGGAAAGTTGTAGCAGCTTGCAATTTTCCTAACATAATCTCTTAGAAAGTTGATAAAATATTACATTAATACAATTGTGTTTTAAACAAACGTTTAAATCATGTATATGTTTAATATATCTTATGCTCAAAATGTTGAAATGCGTTTCCAACGTGCCTTAGTTGTTTCTTAAATGTGTTTTCCACGTGTCTTAATTGCTTTCAGTCTACAGCGGAACTATCATATATCTGATACAAGAGTTCAAAAGGCAGTGTTAGTTTTATAAAGTGTGTCTGTGTTGTATGCAGCCGGCATTGGCCACTCATGTATATATCGCACATTTACCAATCACCCCGCACCTACAACGTATGTATCTATTGCACATCCATTTTGTCGAGCGATTATAATCTGCATTATTGTGATGTGTATTGGCTGTTTATGACAGTTGAAGGCTTTGCATGGTAATGGCAGGTTTTACATAGTAGTGGCAGGCTTTACATGGTAGTTGCAGGCTTAAACATGCTTGTAGAATACCGAACCACAGAAGCAGACCATCTCACAGCCCTAACTATAATGATGAAAATATATGTGGTAAAATAACGGTAATCGTTCTAATGGTGGTGATGACGACAAAGAGAATAATGATGACAGCAGTTTGGTGAATCAGCTTTAACAATGTCGAGTTTAGATCGTCCACCTTCTCTATGCCTATACCTAACACACCAGATAGTTGAATCAGCTTTAAAAATGTCGAGTTTAGATCGTCCACCTTCTCTATGCCTATACCTAACACACCAGATAGTTGAATCAGCTTTAACAATGTCGAGTTTAGATTGCCCACCTTCTCTATGGCTATACCTAACACACCAGAAAGTTCACCCTTGACACACAGCTCTTTGTATGTTGACCAGATTGAAAATGTCTTAGACACTGGCTCACGTTTTCATTAACCAGAATAGAAAAGACTTAATATGTAACTTTCATCACCTTAATAATATGCTTATAAGCAGCATAAACAGCCAATAATATGTACAATATTTGCAAAAAAACTTTATTTCGATAATTGTAATTACTTAAAATTTGGAACCTTAAAAAAGTAATACAATCGATTCTGTAAAATCTGTTCGTTTTGCACATTGAAATTGCTACAATTTTTAAAATGTGTCTTATGCATGTACATTTTACTTTAATGGGATACATTCAGTACAAATGCAATCCAAGTCTGATTGTTCGACATTATAGGTGACTTGCTCTTTTTGATCCGGTGTCTAATTTTGCATTTAAGAATGTATTGACATGAATGAGATTTTTTTGTAACGTGTTTAATTAACGATACCTATGACCCTCTTAACAAAAAAAAAATAATCACTGTTTTCCTGTCCTACTCGTCCCGTAATAATAATTGGATATCCGCCATCATATTGAATCTCTCCGGTATTTGTTGGTTGTATTTTCCTTCGACTCCAAAGTTCCAAGAGCAAAATAATATTACCGTGTATTCATATATAGGCACATATGAGATTATTCCTAACTGTACTCCAACTACTTTCTGATATGCGACTATGTCTTACACGTTAGACTGACCAACTCCTAACGCTTGGTCAGCTGACCGTCACACGTGACATGTCAGTTCGTTCCATTGTTATTATATTGTTTCTGCTTGACTAATGTGTGGTTATTGTCTGGTCATTATAGCGTACATTTACGTATTATCGTTTTAAAAAATGTCATAGAATAGTATCATCGGAAAAACTTTAATTCAACCGGATTGATCGTTCGTCTTATTCATTCAAATGTCATGGCAACCATATTTTCAATTAAGTCACTGATGCTTGCAAATATATTCCTTTACAAGTCATATTGACAGTCAGGATAGTGTCCAGCTCACAATAATTACATTGTTCTTATAAATACAACCTATGTCGGTATATAGAGATTGTTTTATATGTCTAAAACTTCAATAAGCTTTAGCTGTAGATAAATAAAATTCAACAATACTGGATAAAGTATTTGAACGAGTTGTTTCAGTCATGATAACTAATTAAAAGCATAGTTTACCTTTCAGATCAGATAATGAACCAGTGTGTTCTACTCTCAATGGCTATTTCCTTGGATTACTCGAACTTGTAGCAACATGGGATCATTTTCCTGCAAGCCATACACCAACAGTGGGAACATAAAACCGTTTTGTTACAACTTATCTTTTTGCTGAAACATACCCAACAACCACAGTGTGGTGGGAGAAGTCTAAGGTTTTATTATATATGTGTCAGGTCATCGACTTTCTTCTTCACTTAGCTTTGTCAAGGCCTGTAATATTACTCCAGTTTACACTGTGGAAAGTACTGCATCGACAGTTTTTTTTTTATTTAATGAAAGTCTTATTTAGATTGATGCAATGTAGATATTTAATTGTTTTCTTTTTTGTAATGTTAAGTAATATTTATAGTATGTGTTTAATGTATTTATTTAAAATGCTATAAGGGAGAAAACAAAAACATAATTTACATAGACAGCAGAATCAATTGAGTGTACACAC